CCCTCCCGCATGCCCCCCGGTACGCACCGCGCGGCTGGCCAGTCGACAGCCAGACTCTGGACAGCTACGAGGTGATGGACCCGCGGGATGCAGGACACTATTACCGCCCACTGCCCCCTCAGTTCCGCGCGCCCGAATTCCGCGCGCCCGGCCTCATGACGCCCGACGGCACCTACATCCCGTCGGGGAGGGTCCACCCACATTTCTACGAGGATTTCGGCCAGGCAGCTGCATTCGCCGACGTGCCTCAAGGCATGCCGTACGCCGGCTTCGAGGCGGCTGCCCCGCCTGCTCGTAGGATGCCTGGGACAGCCGGCGCGCAGACAGCCGGCGTGCAGAGCCACGACGAAGGCGAGCAACGAGGCGACGCCGGGCCCTCCATGCAGGCTTGATGCATTTCGCAGGTACCGTCATGATGTATTGTCAATCTTGTGTACAATGTACTCGCTACCCAGGCCCTCATCTTGATCTTGTGTAAAGTACTTCGTAGTAAAAACAATGATATTGAGAGTGATTATCGTGTACTACAGGTGTGATGTACATAAATTACTAAGTACTAGTAAAAGGAGCGAATGTGCACTCCCATCAAGACAGGCAACAAATGCCATTCTAGGGGAGGATGTTAGAGACATAACATGTGATGCAAAGGACTTGAAGCCTCATGGAGGAGGGTCGGTGTACCATCTGCGTACCATCTTAGGATGGTGGCGGGGAGGGCACCTAGATGGCGATGGGATGCCCCTATATCCTATTTGGGTTACAGTGGAGGGGATCCTCGAGGAGGGATCCCCTCAGACCCATTTCGCACCACCCCTAAGGGGGTCTTCTTGACGTTGACAGGTCCTGCCTGGGGTGGTCCCAAGAATAGTAGTCCGCGAGACAACAACGCCCACGTGACCTTCACATCTGCAGTATTCAAGGGTTTCTCAACGTCACTCTTATACGATGATGGCAGTGCGGCTGCCTTAGAAGAACACGATACCCATAGAACGGTATATCCGCGGCCTCCGGGCCCCATGGCGTTTGCCAGCATATCAGTAAATCCTGTTCCCTACACGACTTGACCGCACGGGAAGCTGGCTGCTTGACCACAGCTTCCATATAGTAAAATCAAGAAATTGTTGCAGACGGGGGTGGTGTCAAGACGATGTGCTGCGAGCCATGTCATCATTGCGCGCCTGTGTGAGTGAGCTTATTGGACTCGAAGCGCCGATACCGAGGATGGTCGGAGGAAACCCAGGCTTTGTTGAGACTATCAGCTCCTCGACGACGTTCATACTAACGAGGCGCCAGTAGAGAGCCGGTGTGGTCGAGGTGTCTTAATCCCCTATTCCTCATCCGAAACTCGGCGTCAGCATATAAGCTGTCGGGGTCAGCACGAGGCGACCAACCACAGTCTAAAGGTTAAGGCACGGTCAGATGCGGTAACACAGGCATCTCTTGTGTCAAAGTGTTTTTGGCCCTGAAAGCACTATACAAGCTGTGAGACTGCTGGCAGTTGACTATCAATTGGGCAAATCCTCCATTAACAGATGTAAGATCGGCGAAGACGTTTGGTGACTCGTGGCAATACACGGATGTGACAGAGCCCCCAGACTGGAACATCATGGGAGGATTCAACAATACTGTCACGCGTGGTCCATTTGACAGGAACCCCTCAACATCATTCCGGTGTGACTGTCGTAAAGTAGCACAGCATCTGCGGACGCGTACCTGCGGCGTCAATGACGCTTGAGCTAAAGGTAACGCCTTTCTCGTATGACGGTATACGGTATCAAATCGGTGCCTCAGGTACGTCTCGGAAACTCAACGATCGCCGTGCGTTCACATGTCAGAAACCAAACCAGAGTTGTCAGATAGGAGGATATCGAGTGCCCCGGGATCGATGCACACCGAGTCAAGAGAACAGCATCACAACGTGCTGTGGACCACATGGCTGGTGCGACAGTGTGCTTCCCTGTTGGGCTCGACGCATCATGAGCTTTACGCGTCTAATGCGGCGGAATCACCGCCCACGGCCAATTTTGGTGCGACGAACTCGGAACACACCACATCTACCATATTCTGATGCCAACGACGCCAGCTTGCCAGCCACCTGCCCATAACGAAGTAGTCAAGTGCTCATCAGCCGATCACACGGAACACACAAATACCGGGTGCTCCGATCCTATCTGAACGGCTCGAGTACAGCTCTTTGGCATGGAAGCCATTGCCACAAAGCTATTTTTCCTTAAGAATGCTCCTGGAGGCACTTTAGAAGCTCTCAATGCCTCGGCTCGACTACAGAGATCTTGCAATAAAGGGTGTCCATGAGGTTGCTACTCAATTATCGCCCAGAAGATACCGTTGCACAGGATGTACCAGCGACTTCTTGACAACGCTGAGGTCTGCATTAGGTAACTGGGACCCGCATGGTGGGTAGTGTTGTGCCGGGCCTGGCTCAGAAGCCCGAGCCAGGCCAGCAAGCCCGGGGCCTGCAGTACTAGTTTGGACCTCTGGTGCGGCACCCATCAGCTTATTATGGATGCGAGAGGCACAATCACATACCTTAACAAGTTGTTTGGTACATCTCCACAGTGTCCGGAACTCCATGATGAGGAGGTTCTCTGTACGCCGGAGACAATGGGCGCTTCATGCTGAACAGCAGACTCTGTGCTTGAGTGTCTCGGTCAGCTCACTTGTCTTCCACTTGTCTTCTTTGTTAATACTATATTCATAGCAGGAATCAAGAATGAAGATGGTAGAAATCAATGGTTTTTGACATGGCTTGTAACCAGCAAACACGTAGGGAACCAAGTACAGAACGAACGTACCATACGTGGTCATGTGATCTACTACCGTAAGTTTCGACTGCATTTCCAACAGCTACTATACATCTACCTACTTACTATGATATACAGTCTCTTTGAATGATGCTCCACGCTCGATGTAGATCCCATGATCAGCCACTGTGCATAAGTCGCGAGGAAGTAACAAGCCATGGCTTGAGCCCGAGCCAAGCCTGAGCCAGGCCAAAGCCCGCGGCCAGGGCCTGGCTCAGCACCCGCTGAGGCCCGGGCTCTCTGAAGCCAGGCCAAAGCCATGGCTTTCGGGCCAAGCCAAGCCAGGCACAACACTAATGGTGGGATATTGCACAGTTAAGAAGCCGATCATCATTGGGACACAGTCACTTGGGGCGTTCACAGTACGGTTTCCAGCGCGGATTCGAGCAGATTTCAGCTCGGATTCCGCGCTGAATTTCGCGCCTCGGTCGATGACCGAGTGTATGCGCCATTGTCCGCGCACTGCCCGAAGTCTTACATAATGAAAAGATCTCTCTCGCTTTTAGATATTCTTGCTGGCCGATGTCATGCCCTCATGCCACATGCGCAATTTGTATTGTATTAGGACACACATATATCTTAGAGCATTATTCTTTCTTGGGTAATGTAGTCAACTCATATACAAGTACTGGCTCATGGCTAGTGTTCAGGTGCAGTAATAATAGCTGTAGTATCAGCTGAATACAGATCATCCCCTAATTACCTCAGAGTCTCGTATAAAGCTGTAGCATTGGCCCACATTCTTATGAGTACTGCACTAACCGAGTTACCATAAGACTTGCAGTTCAAGTTCAAAGTTAAAACTCGCCATGTCGCGCATTGTAGCCGCCTCGCCGCCGGAGTTGGAACTATCTGCCAAAAGAGATGTGATCTCCGTGAACGAACGAACGAACGAACGAACGGGCGACAAGAATTGAGCAACCCTAACACCTCTAAAGGCGTGCGCGGACAATGCCGCATACGCTCTGTCATCGACCGAGGCGCGAAATCCAGCGCGGAATCCGAGCTGAAATATGCTCGGTATTCGCGTTGGAATCCGTACATGAACGCCCCTAATATTGGCTTCAAACCTGATTCGCCGTCTTCAGACCCGATCGCAAGCTGGACCACGTACAGTGACCCACACGGGATGTCTGATGGGCAGCAGATTATTCGCGTCCGATATCACAACGCGGACCTCTGCCGTTCTCCTATCAAGGAAGCTCTGGCCGAAAAGACAACAGTTGCTGAAAGTGGAGGCGCCGACGCTAGTGACAGGATCCTAGCCCGCTCCGCGTGAAAGCCCTTTCTTCCACAGCCTGGGTTCGGCTTACAGGTAAATATCGATGAAAATTGGCACGGAAGTCGGGATGCAAATCTTGAGCGCAGCCCCTAGGTAAGAATGAAACAGGTACTAACCAATATCGAGCTCAAATGCGCGTTGTTGGATTCATAAAGTTTGGCGGACTCTTGCAGTGAGGCGTGCATCGTTGATCACGGAATGCACGCTGTAATTCGGTCCGCCTAGATTCCTAACGCCTCTTCGGAAGGACGTAACGGAAGATGCTGGCAGGAAAATTGGCTCGTCAAAATTAGTGGGCTAGCGAAGGTCAAGGAAGAACTGGCACAGTATGAGCGAATTGATGCTATGCGATAAGGCATTAGTAGGCGGCACTTCGATGGACAAGCAGACACGTGCAGTTCAACCGGCTGCGCAGCATCGCAAATTTCTAATTCAGCATCTGTTATTCAGCTAGCGAGTATCGATGTCAAGAATCGCATCTGTAGAGAGAGAAACCGCAATATTTGCAACACTGAGCAGGAGGACCAGGCTGCCAGATAAGTGAGCAGCCTGAGAGACCATACGACAAGGAAATCCTATATAGAATACACTGCACTTGATAACCTGACTAAGTTCTTCAACATCGAAGAGCACGCAGAACGTACCGCGCTTCATGCGTATCGAGTACGGTTGAAGGATCTTCGCATATTGCTGCCTCGTCTGAAATACCTGTTCAATTGTGAGGATAAACTTCGTACACATAGACCTCGACAAGGAAAGTTTGACAGTAAACAGTAGGTCTGATCACCAACGAGACCAGTGCTCGCATAACGCAGCTCATTAGCTATAGTGATTTGAAACTGCCACGATGGTCTGGATACTTAGTAGGCGTAGGCTTCCGAGAAGATTATGGCGGCTCGCTCGCATTCGGTGAGCTGGATGAACTCGGGTCAGGTCAGCTCAGACAGGACTAACTGAACGAAACGAGAGGCGAGTCTCATAGGCAAACGGATGCATCAACTTCCATAAAGGTTTTGGATATGCCATCAAATTGAGAGACTGTACATTTCACGATGTGACCTGACCGAGTCTCTTTCGATCATTGAGACAGGATGGTGGCCAACGATGCGCGATAGTCTGGCAAGACAGCTGAATCACACGGAAAGTCTGGGATGCCGAACAGCGGCAAAAATATGCTGAGTAGCTGGTGCTTCAGACTGAGGGCCAATATTCACGCCTTGCAGGAGATGGTGCGCATAATATCACTGTGACAGAACCGTCAAGAGTTCTCCGTACGGAACCTCGTCGCAGTACGGATTAGCATCTTGATGTACCCGCTATTTCTACACGTCGGAGGCATTCCAGCTGAGGCTCGGCTTACCCTCAAACCATCCTGTCGAATCATTATTGATGACACGTTAGCCCATGATACCCTACCAAGCCAACAAGCACTTACGTTTATGATGAAAATGCGACATGGTTGGTTGTGCTGTGGGAGACTTGGTTTTACGCAATGCTTCTGGGCACGATGCGATCATAGGATTTTCCGTAATGGTGAGCATGTCATCGACCTAGTCGGCGTACTAGCGTGCGATTTTGCATAGCTTGCACAAGTAAATACTGCATCACTTGCATCAGCCCAAATCTTGATCAGTAGAGTTCAGATTGTTCTCACTTTCAAACATATAGTACAGTAGCGTCATGATCAAGACTTGTCGTGTTTTTGCATTCATTGGTTGTAATCGAGAGACTGAGAAAGCTGTGTGCAATTCGTGACCAATGACTTTCAGCGTATATGGACGCGCGTTCCACAGCAATCATTATAGAGCACACTGTAATTTGCGTAGTAATGCAACTCGGGGCGTTCAAACTTCATGGGAAAGATATCGTCCAGCCACTGCCACGGCATTTGCCGATCTCGGCGTAAGCGTAAGCGCTTATGAGCACGGACCCATCCTCCGCGCGCTCAGGAGGGAGCTCTCTTGTAGGCTGTCTAGGCAAGCCTAAACCGAAATCGACCCGAGGCCTCAAACATCACATCCGGACATTATTCTCAGTGTCTATCGGCCATATTGAAAATGGACCCCTTTGAAGTCCGCATACAATTCCTATCCCTGCTACGAAAGCTTAACGCGTCAGTCACCCCTTCCCTTTCTTCAGACGTCCAATTTCACAGAACTCATGGTGTAGCTCACAGCAATCCATCCAGAAAATAGTGGGATATGCGCTGAAGTTCTTTTCTGGATGCGGTGAAGACTTGTGGGACTGCTTAGTTGAGGAGTGCCAGAAGGTATGCGCTATGCCCAGGTCGGTTCGCCATTTTAAACATCCGGACAACTTGTAGGGCTCGATAAACAACCGCATTAACATCCTGTACCTCCTTGACAGCCTTTGCGAGGCATCGCTGATCGCAAAATCCCACTCGGGTGCCTTGAGCCATGATGGGGGTCAAAACTCGTTTTACGTTGACTATGTGGCGCGCGACCTGAGCAAGGTTGTTGAGTCGGTAGTACCAGAAGGGCGACAGGGGCTTCCAAATCTCATGAGCACGAAACAGGTGAGTATCCATTCACACTCGGCCGTGATTCTTGCACGCGCCACGCTCTTTGTCCACGGACTGTTCTGTAGAACAAGGTCGCCTGGGTTTGTCCTGATAGGACTAATAGCACTCGTTTGTTTCTGTGTTTTCATCTGCTACACAAGGCACACGCCTTCGGGCATGCGGCCGTAAAGACGCATCTTTTGGCAATCGGGAGGTTCCTTGCAATGCTATATTGACTACTCGGGCCTCATATTCATGCTCTTGCCTTCACAGATCCTCGAGAGCTGGCGCAGCAAACGCGTCATCGACCCGCAAAAGGTCGATGATGTCCTCGCATGCCTCGACGCACGGCAGACCTCCCTCGAACAAGCAGGCGACGCGCCATCAGCCCGTCCAGCGACGGCGCTCCCTCGCGCCGAGGTCTTCAAACGCATCGAGGAGGACCGCGAGCGGCACAAGCGCCTGCGCGAGCGGCGGTGGGTGCAGCCGGTGTCGCACGCCGTGACGACGCACCTGCCGCCGCCGCTCGCCGCGTTCCTCCCGCTTGCGGGCGAGGACAACGGGGGCGACAGCGCGGGGGATCTGCCGCTGGATATTGAGTTCGAGAACGACTGGGAGACGACGAGCGATTGGAACGAGGACGACGACGATGCGGCGATGGAGGAGAACCAGCTGTGTTTCCCATCGCATGATGGCGAGCAGGCGATGGACTTGTCATAGCGTGCGTCGGTGTCTGCCCTGTCTAGTGTATGGTATTCAACTTTATTTGCTTAATGAGAGACATTTTCTGGTCTCTCGCCCGAGGTAGTCTGCTCTTGGGTGCGCTGAGGTCGCTTTGATCATGCGCCTGTGCAGTCAATACATGGTTTCCGCTCTCCGTTGGGCGCCTATTCCTTTGACTGCGACATGTAAGGAGGGTATCAGGTACCGAGAGGCGTTGGGACGCTCTGCAACATGGACATGAAGGTGATACGGGAGGGTGAGAACGTTGCCGTGTAACCCCTACCGTCCCCTATGTGCCGATAGACTCTGTTCTTCTCCGAAGAGCCTCCTGGGAGGCCATAATCTCGCCGGCGCATAGGTGAATGGAGTTGTGTTCACTAATCTTGACAGCCCCAGATCCACAAAAGTCACATCAAGCCCTGGTGGAGTCGTGAATCATACGAGAACGGACATGCCGTTGTGTAGTACTCAGAGCAATAGTTGCTGGGTGAGGGCTAGGCAGCGATGATGGAAGGGCTATGCCCACACCTAAGGCGAGTTTACTCTAGCAAGTAAGCTGGACAATCTTGAGGTACGCGAAGTGGATGTAGTCCACGTCCCGTACAGAGTCAGATTCGATGATCAGGCGATAGTGGCGCAGGAGGCAATTGCAAGCACTGCGGATTATTTTAGAAGTCGCGGTGCCCGAGACCTGAAGCGGGTGAAGGACAGCTTGGTGAGTGACATATACTCACTCACGGCTACCACAGTTACGCATGAGGTCGATTGAACCCCTTGGTAATCGCTCGAGATATTGGTGTTTACATCGGGCAGTCGGCGTAGAAAACCTGTCCTATTTGAATTCGCATGGCGGGTGAGGTGTTTTGCACGGCTGCAAGTAAGTATGATTCTCGAGCCTTTCTCTTTTTCTTCCAGCGCATTCTGCAATCCCATGAATGGTCAGGATTTATGGCGAGTAGGAAGCGTTTATGCAAGTAAGCGCTATAATCTAGATTATCTCCGATAGATGTAGTCCGACATGGCTAAGTTAACAGAATGTCTCGCTGGTAAACCCTACCTATGGGGACCACTTTGCAAGACAGACGCGATAAATGCAGCAATTCTGGATGACGACGGACGCAATTCGGAAATCAAAGATTCGAGCTCAAGTAAGGTATATGTATCTGGCGAATGAACGGGGTAGAGGAGATGTCCGTGTGTACCGAGAAGAAGCGAGAGCAATTTGGATGCGTGTGTTGGATCCATATCACAAATAGAGCTAGGTATGTTTGAACTGGTCCTGAGTGCAGACGAAGCAAGCCATGCACCTAGATGGAGAATTGTATTTAGCAATGTGAAGTGCGGTCTCGTAGTGTTATCGACCTAGGCGACGTTTGTCGTTGTCTGACACTCCGAGGTGTCATACAGTTTGCCCACTGCAGTGCCCTCGTGAGTCACCTACTTGCGTGATGCTTCGTCCATCACTATGGGCATTTGAGCCTGAAATCCATTAGTATCTGAGTGAGTACTTGGTTTTCCACGGAGATCACCTGTTATGTCGAATTCTTCTGCGTCACTGGGATTATCTAGCTCACAATCCAAGTCATCGTCGAGAGCGTGAGACCCTTCTTCGAGCATCTCGCCCAAGTTGCCAATGATCCCCGATGCGAACCTCAAGAAGGAACTTCCCGGAGAGGATCCAGTGCTGTCATTGACATCGGAGTTGGCTGAGAATTGACGAAGGTTAAGGAAAAAGCGGCATAAAACCATGGTACTGATGCTGTGCGTTGACCATTTTTAGAGCCTGTAAGCGAAGAAGAGACATTGCGCCTACAATTCCACGGGCGCGGAAAAGTCGAATAATTCCTATATAGACGCCGCTAAGTCACTATGCGCATATATATCAAATGCGCCCACCCCCGTGAGTAATGCGCTTGTGATGTCGGCTATATTGATCCCAACCACTAGCCTGTGACAGCAGATTACACGACGTCATTAGCCGGAAAATGAACTCACGCAAAGTGAACAATCCCTATACATGCAAGTGTGGGATTGCAATATTACTCTGTGTTGAGATGGAGCACGCACCATCCCGGATCAGTGTGGTTGTAAGGGATCCTTTGCTATTCCGCATAGTAGCTGCTCGATTGGCGCGTGTTGCCTGCCATGTGGAGACAACTACGAGAAGATTCGACATGAGGACACATGTTCGGGTGGCGAGAAGCACTGTGAAAGTAGTGAATACATTGCATTCTGGCTCAAGGGATGTGCAAATCTCGGCTGCATTACATCTTACATATTCTAGTAAGACTTCCGCATATGTGAATAGGTAGGGACGTGACGTACTTGTCGTGTTTGGAAGTCGAGAGTGAAGACTCAATAGCCCAAACTTCTGAAGTACAATATATGATTGCTTGAGAGCCAGAATACTGTGAACCATGCATAGATGAGCAATAGAATATCTATAGTGAGGTACATACTTGCAATATTAAGAACAACGGGCACAAGCCCCAATATCATCACGACTGTGGCTTTCGTCCACTGCTGGCCGTCAATAGCATATACTCTGATTGAGGCGAATGCTGTCAACCGCATTGCATTAGACTGCTACACCAGGAAGGGAGGACGGACGTACCTGCCTGAGCCAAATATATCCCGCAAGCAGTGCATACGTCCAGTAAATATGGGATGAAGAAGCTGGAACCCGATATAGTTGAGCGATCTGAAACAGGATACGTTCAACACGGAAAGTACCCCTGAGAATGAATGAGCTAGAATAACATTGAAACAGTGCGAAGACTAACATTATATGACGCCGAGAAGTTCGTGACGTCTAGGACCATAGTGATAAAAGTTACGTAGCGGAGAGTTATGTATAGAGCACTGGCTCCCGTGACCTTACGAGACCAGACCGTTCGCCACTCCAGATCGAAGGAGATGATAGAATCATACACAAACAGGCCTAATATGCGCATCAGTGAAGGCATCACGAGATTCGCTAGTCGTTTACATACTCATAGCCATGACTTCGATGTAGTTTTCTATGAGGCTGCAGTTTAGACAAGATTTTTATCAAGGACGAAAGAGCGCAAGACAATGATGTTAGCTTACGTATACTCCACTAATTGGACATTTTTGTCTTCGTTTATGCTTGATCCACACATTGCAAACTAGGGACAAGAGGTACAGTAGACGTTCCCGCGTTACGGGTATATATACATATAGAGTACGGCGTCTTCTCGTTGGGCTAAATAGAACAGCCTGGCTCGTTCCACGAAGCGTAGCGCTCCCTCGCACAGCTGTTCCCTATAAGATTATTGATACTAATGGGCTCGGATATGGGTCTTGATACGATGCTGCGGTCCATTGCGATTCACCACATGTGCTGATGTCAACACTGAGACTTGACCTTGATACTGCCACCTACCTCGACAAGCCTTTACGGTGCAAGTATGTGACCACCACGAGACGTGTTGCGGGCATTCGTGGTGACATCCCCAGAAATAGAGGCCACTCTGGTAGTTCAAGTGAGTCAGGGTATGAAGATCCAGAGCGCCGACGAGGATGATGGTGGAATCTGCCACAGGGACCACAAGGTTCGATGATCTGAATATCTTGTGTAGATATACCACACAGGCTACAGTGGCCGACGGGAGAACTAAAATCAGAGAAAATCCGTTATGTGCGCCCGGGATGCGCCCATGAAGATGCCTGTAGCGGGACACTGCATGGATCATCTAGGGCGCGAGAAGTAGGGCGACATATACACAGAAGGAGTCTCGTTATCGCGGGAGCAATACACACGCAATCAGATATCAATCCACCTTCCCCTGCCACGTAATTGCGAATCCTCGGCAGGCTCTGAGTCAAGATACGCAGGTGTCTCCATGGCGTCGTCATGGGTGAAGCCTGCATGTACAGACTGTCACTCCCACCGCCAGCGATATGAACGGAACCGAGAAGGGTCTGTAAATGACATCGTGTCGTTACCAGAGACTAAAACACAGCGTCATAATGTAGTACACCTCCTGTGTCCGCGTCGCGTGATGGCCTTGATGCTGCTACAAATCTCCGCGTTTAGGTGACACCACAAGCACCGAAGGGTATGATACTGAGATGTGCAATGTTAATAAGCGGTGCTTACAGTCGCTATTGACAACGGACTAACCGTACGTTAGACAGCATCCACCGCGGTGGCTTGGACGCCCCTTGACGCATAAATGGCAAGTTAACAACGCGCTGGGACAGGGATGCATAAGTATTTAGGCGCTAGTAACCCCGATAGGCATGCGCTCGAACACATACTATTGATGAATCATGCATAGCAGCATCATGCTCGGGATTGAAACGCAAAGACATCAGTGAAGGGAAATTTACCACATGGCAATAAAACGATAGCGTCGTGGCACGCACCGCCCAGGTTATGCAACACGTCCGAGCCATACTTGGTATCACTAGCTATTCACGCTCATGTACTTGACGATTTCTTTTTTTTCACGAGTGAGAAAGCCAGTCTGTGTAGCTTCAGAAGCTCGACGCTCATTAGCCCTGTCAAGTACAAATGCGGGCAAGCGTGTAGTGGGACGTGGCCCTGGAGCTTCATGGTACGCCTCGGCTTGTCATGTTGAAATTCACGATACATAGCGACACGGACTTACTTAGTTCTAGCGCGCGGCTTATGTAATACGTATGATACATACGCGCTGGCGTTGAGACGCACCTCAGTTCCTTGCTACACGAAGGAGACTGAGGTATGTTCTTTTTACTTACATTCAGACTTATTTCTGACATACTGTAGACAGTTTTTTCCCTGTCTCTTACAGGTTAGTTAATGAATATAGTTCCTTGCTACACGAAGGAGACTGAGACAGTTTTTTCCCTGTCTCTTACAGTCTCTACACGATCGTGCTCACATCCCTCAGGTTGCGCTCCCGTTGTTCAACTTACGACAGGTTATGAGCCCCGGCCCCTGACCGGATCGCTCAGCACATCGAGAACTCAAAACAAAACTCTATCACTTCCATCTTCCCACAAGCCTAACTTCTCGCTCCCACGTCACAGCACATGACGACACTCTATCCCGCAATGAATCAGCCGGCTGTGTCGCGACTTGAGGTCTAGCGACAGGGGAAAACCTAAAAGGAGCTGGGGGCGTTCGACTGATTCTCACTGAAGCGATGGTGAGCGATGCTCAAACCTAAGGCTAGGGACAAGAAATGTATTAGTTAGTGAAGGTAAGTAAAGAATACAAATGAGAGCTTACTGACCTAGGGACAAGAGGTCAAAACTGAGGTCCCTAGGGCAGCAGAGGCCGGTTTATATACAGGGGAAGATAAGGGCAGGCTGTGCGCGCTGGTCCGTGTGCAGCTGGTCCGTGCGCAGCATGCCGACGCGACCCCGGGGGCCGGTGAGTCAGAGTGGCTGTGTCAGCAGAGCCCGAGCTGTGCCGTGCACTGCCGTCCCATCTAATCTAATCGTACAGTAGATAACGACACGTCCATATCAGGCAGGTAGTACAGAGGTTGCGGGTTCGAGCCCGCAAAAAGGAAAAAATTAAAAAACGGCTAGATGCTGTACCAAGTCGTGACAGGCTGTGCCAAAAGGCCAGTCTAATCGTCTATACGACATCCCTCTGTTGGAAAACGAGGGTGGCAACTTCCAGCAATGGAAGTATCGCGTTGGATGGGTCTTGCGAATCCGCGGACTCTATCCGCTGATTGATGGCACCGAGAAGGATCCCGGGACGACCAACCTTGTCTTGCAGGAAGCCTGGCGTTTGCGGAACTACGAAGCGCTTATGCAAATTATGCTAACGCTCAAGGACAAACCGCTTTCGTCGGTCATGCACATGGAGATCGCGAAGGACGCTTGAAACACGCTCAACAGGCGCTACGAGGGAGTCGGAAAACAGACAATTGCTTACCTCGTAAGTGACCTGTTTCGAGGCATGCTCAGCGATGAGATAGCACTCGAGGACCAGCTCAATGCCATGCTGCAAAAGAGCCAAATCCTCGCGTCTCTCGGACTCATCCTTGATGAGTCACTCATAGCAGTCGCCATGTCGATTTCCCTTCCCCCATCCTATGGCACCCTCCGGACCATCCTCATAATGCAGGACAGCAAACTCGACACCGAGAAGGTGATCAACGAGGTCCTCGCTGAGGAAAAGCGCCGAAAAGAGGGCACGTCCGAGTCTGCGCTGCTCGTGAGAGCCGGCAAGGGTGCAAAGTCACCAGATAAGAAGGATAAGAAAAAGAAGAAGAAGTGTACCCACTGTGGCTACACTGGTCACACGGTCAATGAGTGTCGCAAGCTCAAAGTGAGTCAATCCGAGGCCACTACCAAGGCTGACAAGAAGGACAAGTCCTCCGAAGGCAAGGAGTCCGTGAAAGTCGCCAGCGTGCGCGATGTTGGATCTGAGACGCTCCGTCTCTTCCTGGCCGAGGAACTGTCACGCAACGATGTGCTCCTTCACCGCTGGATCATTGATTCCGGCGCGTCCTCTCACATGTCCTCGCACCACGAGTGGTTTCTTCACTACCGCCCCCTTGCCGCGCCGAAACGGGTCTATCTTGGGGATGAGCATCACATCCTCGCTCAAGGCATCGGGCAGGTTGTCATCTCAGCCTCTCTTGAGGACGGCAGTACGAACACGGGTGTCATCCAGAACGTCCTCTACGTCCCAGATCTCAATGGCAATCTATTGTCAGTCGCTCAGTTCGATCGCAACAGCTACAACGTCTCGTTCACAGATGGGAAGTGTTGCATCAGCAATTCTGATGGGAATATCAGCGCTGTTGGGTACATAAAGGAGAATCTCTATCTCCTTGATGCCACGACTCACCTTTCTGAGTGTTCATATGTCGCTCGTGCCAAGCTTCCTCCTGCTTATGAGGACCCCTCTTCCCATCATGCTCTAGTTGCTACGGCTGCTACATCACGCGTGGACCTCGAAACATGGCACCGCCGCCTCGGACACATCTCAGTTGACTCTGTTCTGAAGATGGTGAAGAGTGGCATGGCCAAGGGCATGGCTATTGTCGGGGATAAGGCGCCAAACTCTCCATGTAGATCATGTCTCCGTGGAAAGCAGACGCGCAACCCGATACCGAAGCGGTCAGATGTCGAGAATACTCGCATCCTTGATCGTGTCTTTTCAGACATTTGCGGACCAACAAAGAACGAGACAAACTCAGGGAGCCGCCGCGGTCATCAATACTTCATCACATTTATTGATGGTCACTCGCATTACACCACTGTGCAGCTCATGAAGACAAAGGATGAGGCACTCTCACACTTCCAAGACTTTGTGCAGCGAGCAGAGGTTGAGACAGGCGAGAAGCTTAACCATCTCCGATCGGACAACGGCGGCGAGTACTGCTCGGATGACTTCGTCACTTATCTCAAGTCGAAGGGTATCCACCACGAAAGAACCAACCTGTCACGAGTTGGTACGGCGTCTAGCCGTTTTTTAATTTTTTCCTTTTCGCGGGCTCGAACCCGCGACCTCTGTACTACATACCCGATATGGACGCGTCGCTATCTACTGTACGATCAGATTAGATGGGGCGGCAGTGCACGGCACAGCTCGGGCCCCGCTGACACAGCCGCTCTGACTCACCGGCCCCCGGGGCCGTGTCGGCATGCTGCGCACAGACCAGCTGCGCACGGACCAACGTGCACAGCCTGCCCTAATCTCCCCATGTATATAAGCCGGCCTCTGCTGCCCTAGGGACCTCAGTTTCGACCTCTTGTCCCTAGGTCAGTAAGCCCCAGTTGTATCCTTTACTTACCTAACTAATACATTTCTTGTCCCTAGCCTTAGGTTTGAGCCCTGCTCACCATCGCTTCGGTGAGAATCAGTCGAACGCCCCCAGCTCCTTTTAGGCTTTCCCCTGTCGCTAGACCTCAAGTCGCGACATTAGGTCGAAACTCCACAAAGCTGCCGGCGTTCCTCGGAACCCCACACACTCACTTTTCCTTTCCCATAGGTTGGGTGGTGCGCACCCCGACTGTACCCTACGATACGTAGATAGCATACGATACATCGCCAACACTTGAGAAACGAACTCTTCAGTACCTGCGCTTCAGTGAGCGGTACTTGTCCTCACGGACGCGTAGCCTTGGTTCCTGCTGCATAATAGTCAAAAGCAGTATTGGGCCCTACGTGAACTGCGAATCTCAGTGTCATCTCGGGCGCCGTAGGTGTAAACTAGTATAGCACGGCCTTTCGTAGTACGCGCACCTCCCCTTCCTCCCCCCATCCAACGTGGCTGCCTGCCAAGGCCAAGTCCACGCATTCGACTCACAGGACCTCATCGACGTCTACATCCCAGACGGTCCTGAAACTATCATCTACCGTTGCGAGCAGCAACCGTGCCCAAACCGAACGCCCCGATCGATCCCAGAAGACTACCCGCGCTACAAGGCGATCCGACGAGCGCAACACCCGCTCGGACCCCGAAGCACCCTAGCATCTCGATCGGCCTCGCGGCACTCTCGCCCTGTCTCCCCTAGCTCCCGTCTCCCTCAAACTGTCGTCACCGGTCCAGATCAAGCGTGAGGAGATCTCCCTCCAGACCCTGCGCCAGAGCCAGAGCCTGAGGAGAGTGAGGGTGAAGAAGGAATCTCGGAGTCCGAGTCCGAGGATTCTGTTGGGTCCGCCTCGCCGACAGCGTTCCCCCCCGCGTCAGCAGTCCCTGACATACGTGACTCCCCCACCGAAC